CTCTTGTCTTAGCTTCCCTAGTAACTGGGATTACAGGTCGGTGCCACCACGCCCAGCTAATTTTTGTATTTTTAGTAGAGATGAGGTTTCACCATGTTGGCCACTCCGGTCTCGAACTCCTGACCTCAGGTGATCTGCCTGCCTTAGTCTTCCAAAGCGTTGGGATTACAGGTGTGAGCCACTGTGCCCAGCCCTATTTCTTTACTACATTTTACTATCAGGTGTGCTCCTAAGGTTATTTTTGTCTATCTTATCTGTAAGGTTGAAGTGCCATGTAGCACTGTGCTCCTGCGCCTCACCTCCCAACTCAGGCTATTGGCTTGAAATCAGCCACTGTGGGAATATTTATACTGGGAAAATTGGCAAAGGCTTACAAATCAGTGCCCCTCATCCCCCTTTTTGATAACTGATTGTTCTATGTTTACCAGCACACTACTGACTGTGGCCCTTAATTAGGAGGCTGGACGTGGTGGCTTATACCTGTAATCCCATCACTTTGGGAGGCTGAGGCAGCAGGATTGCTTGAGCTCAACAGTTCAAGACCAGACTGGGCAACATGGCAAGACCAAGTCTCTTAAAAAAGTTGAAAAATTAGCTGGGCGTGGTGGCTCATGCCTGCAGTTTCAGCTACTCAGGAGGCTGAGAAGGGGATCGCTTGAGCCCAGGAGACTGAGGCTGCAGTGAGCTATGATTGCATCACTGCACTCCAGCGTGAGTGACAGAGTGAGACTCAGCCTCAAGAAAAAAAAAAAATTAGATGAGTAATACCAGCAGTGAGGAAAATCGAAGCACTAACCATCTGCTTGTATATTCATTCCCAGCCACAGTGTGCAAGAGTATGGTAAGGGAGGAGGTGGAGGCTTGACCCAGTCTTTTTGCATCCATATGCTCTTCAGATTCCTTCAAAATTTTGCCTGGATGACTTCAGCCAAAAGCAGAAATGGCAGGAAGTAACTGGGGGAGATTCCCAAATCTATGCCGAACTGGGAATCAAGTTTTTCTCTTGCCAGGAGATGAGATGAGTCAATGACTCCATCTAGTGTTGAAAGACAGATTGGCTCCAAAGAGCAAGGGTTAGCAAAAGATTCCTCTTGATCGGGGCCGAAGATACACGGCTTGCAGTTTCTTCTTCCTTTCTTTTCGCATATTTTCTTTCCTCACCTCCATGTCCATACTGAGTCAATTCTTACCTACTTCCCAAATGAAAACAGGCTTTACTTTTTATTTTCTGAGGCGTAGTCTTGCTCTGTCACCCAGGCTGGAGTGCAGTGACGTGATCTTGGCTCACTGCAACCTCCACCTCCTGGGTTCAAGCGATTCTCCTGCCTCAGCCTCCTGAGTGGCTGGGATTACAAGCATGCATCACCACACTGGGCTAATTTTTATATTTTTAGTAGAGAGGGGGTTTCACCATGTTGGCCAGGCTGGTCTTGAGCTCCTGACCGTGGGATCTGCCCATCTCAGCCTCCCAAAGTGCTGAGATTGCAGGCATGAGTCACCACGCCTGGCCAAAACACAGGCTTTACTTTTTAAAAAAAGATCTCAATTTTGCATTGCTCCCAGGCAAAAACTGGTAATGCCAAGAGTTGAAGGGCATAGGAATGTGCCCAGGTACTTGTCTATATTGTGTGTAATAATGTGCAATACATTTGGTCAGGGAAGCTGTAAATATTTTCTCTTGTAGGTCATATAAATCAAATGTTTCTCTGCCTTCCCACATGTCCTGTATCCACCCCATTTTCCCAGACAGGGCAGATGAAAGTCGTTTGGTTAGCATGTTATAGTCTAATAAACAATCCTAACTCATTCTTAGGTTTTATTCTGCTTTATAAATATTTTGGTAAGAAAATCATAGAAGAAAAAGTCTTTTCATAACTTTCCAGCGAATGGGAGATTTCATTCTTTTCTATAAGTTGAGGACTATTTCCTGCTTTCTTTTCTATTTTTATTTTTCTGAGAAAACTAATTTTATTGAGATTTTTAAGTCAAATATCTAATATAAAAAAGTTTGCATTGTTTCAGCTTGTCTTCATTTTAACCTGTGGTTGTCCTTCATTTGCCTCTGGCATTTTTTTTTCTTCTGTTTTCTGAGACAGAGTCTCACTCTGTCACCCAGGCTGGCAGTGGCACCATCTTGGCTCACTGCAGTCTCTGCATACCCGGTTCAAGCAATTCTCCTGCCTCAGCCTCCCGAGTAGCTGGGATTACAGGTGCCCACCACCACGCCCAGCTAATTTTTGTATTTTTAGTAGAGACAGGGTTTCACCATGTTGGCCAGGCTGGTCTCAAACTCCTGACCTCAAGTAATCCACCCACGTCGACCTCCCAGATTGCTGGGATTATAGGCGTGCGCCACCGCGCCCTGCCCACTTCTGGCATTAAAGTGCTCTAGTTTTGGTAGAATCTTCCCCTTGACATAAGGACCGTCTCCACATTTATTCCCTGTCTATAACCCACATTGTATTTTCAAACAGAAAACCATAATTCAGGAGTAAACACCATCCTCCGTAACGTGCGTCACAGGAGCAGCCTGAAATCTGTTTGTCATTCTGAAACTGTGGTGTAATGGAAGGGAAGCTGATGCTGCAGCTATGGAGATGAGACCCAGGCTCGGGATCACCCTTTTTCCAAAATACTTTTTTGGTGTTTCCAAAACCAGCAAAAGCTGTTTAGAAGTCTCATCTCCAGACTGCCAGACTATACACATGTAAGGCTTTATTTTAAGGGTGGGCCCTGGGTTTTGCATTCAAGTCAGCTGCTATTTGTATGAGCAAGGCTGCTCACAGTGCTGCTATTGGTAGACTACTGGGCTCCCCCTCTTCTACGTGATGGCAGCAATTTGGCCTTAAAAAATGTGCCTAAGTGACTCCACAGGCTACAGGCTATTTGCTTCATAAGTAGGAATGGAAGATTCCTGTTAGGAAGGTATAAGGCAGTTTTGTCTGTGTGTGGGCCAAACTCTTAAAAACAAGAAGGCCTGGGGATTCCCATGTTCTTAGATGCTCAGTAAACATTTCAATTCATCATACTGTCCAACTTAAAAGCCTGTGGCATTGTGCTAGTTCACTGGACCCTGGGAAAGTCTTTTAAAGTCAAATGATACTTTTTTTTTTTTTTTTAAAAGAGACAGGATTTTGCACTGTTGCCCAGGCTGGAGTGCAGTGGCATGTGATCACAGCTCATTGCAGCCTTGCAGCCTTGAGCTCCTGGCTCCAGTGATCCTTCTACCTCAGCCACTTGAGTAGCTAGGACTAAGGCACAACCCACCACAACCAGGTAATTTTAAATTTTTTTGTAGAGATGGGTCTTACTATGTTGTCCAGGCTGATCTTTTACTCCTGGGCTCGTGTGATCCTCCTGCCTCAGCCTCCCAGTGTTGGGATTACAGGCATGAGCCACTGCGCCCAACATTATACTTTTACAGGCCAACCTAAATCCCATGTGGTGTCAATTCAGGTGTGCACTTGCCCCTCAGCCTTAAATACAGGGCCTGTTCCTTAGTATGACTCCACGTTCCCCTGCTTAAAGCTTCAGCACCATGGCACCTGGCTCTTCCCCCATGCCTGGGTCTTGCCTTTGCCCATTTCCTAGAGGATTTGTGGTCCAGGGTACCTGTCATATCAGTGTGTTCCAAACATGGCATCCAAATCTGAAAACCTTCAATGCTCCTGTAGTTTATGATACACAAGTTTCTTTTAGTCAATTAGATACAACCATCTGACTTTTGGCTTCTCAAACAGGAATGTCTGTTTTGGTCTGTTTTCACTTTGCCATGCCTTTTTATCTCAGAATCTTCATGAACTCTTAAATGACCTTTGATCATAAATACCTCTATTTATGCTAAGTAAGAGCCATTTTACATTTTGCTATGGGTTGAATGCACCCAATCCAAAAATTTGAAATGCTCCAAAATCTGAAACTTTTTGAGCACTTACATGGTGTTCAAAGGAAATGTTCATTGAAACATTTCAGATTGGATATGCCCAATTAAGTATAATGCAAATATAAAAACAAGTATTTCCCAAATCCTTAACACTTCTGGTTCCAAGCATGTCAGATAAGGGATATTCAAGCTGTATCCATTCCCAAATTTCCACTAACTAGCTCTTTGGCAGGTCTGTATAAAATCGATGCTTCTATTTTGGGAGGCTGAGGCAGGTGGATCACCTGAGGTTGGGAGTTTGAGACCAGCCTGGAGAAACCCCATCTCTACTAAAAATACGAAAAATTAGCTGGGCGTGGTTGTACATGCCTGTAATCCCAGCTACTTGGGAGGCTGAGGCAGGAGAATCCCATGAACCCGGGAGGCAGAGGTTGCGGTGAGCTGAGATTGCGCCACCATTGCACTCCAGCCTGGGCAACAAGAGCAAAACTGTCTCAACAAAAAACAAAACCTGATGGTTCTGATTACTTAAGGCATTATAACCTCATGAAGTGGTTTATGAGATGCAACTTGAGTTTTTGCGCTACTTTATTGTATTCTGAAATCTCTCAACATAAATAATCCACGTAGCGCATTTGAGAGGTTCTACCTGTTCAAGACAGGAAATTTAGTATCTGTGGCTACTATATGCCAAATGATTTAATGCCTTATTGAATTTGTTCCTCTAGGAGTCCTGTGCACTTATCTTGGGGGAAACGTTGTTCCATTCTTAATAACATGCCCGCTGACCTGTGGTCTGAGGTACTTATGCTGCAGTGGCTAATGAATGTGTCCCTTTTCAAACACTGTTCTGGGGACTTCAGACAACTGACTGCAACCTACCACCTCAAGAATGAGGGATCTGAGGCACAAATGAGAACTGGGTCTTCTGGGCTCATAGAACTTTTCTCATTACAGCAGACTGCCTGTTTCCATTTAGGGGAATGAGATGCTCTCCTTCATAAATGATACAAAATCCAAGAGAACTTCTTAAGGCAGCTCCAATCAAAGACTGTCTTGGCTGCTTCTGGAAACAATGGTCACTATTCCCAAAGTCAAAAATGACTAGAACACAGACTTAAAAATCAAGCCATTTAATTGTTTTTGAAGGTAAACAATATAAGGAGCTGAATCCCAACCCCTGAGAATGCCAGAGCTATGGGTCCAAAATGGTGTGGTATTGTCAACAATTCAGAAGGGCCAGCACTCCAGGTGTGACCAGGCAAAGAACATATGGAATTCATGCATTCCATTTAATAATTTTGTAAAATACCAGAAACAGACCCCAAGAGTCTTTCAAGATGGGGAAAATTCAACTCCTGGTTTTAGAGATAAAACAATGAAGAGAACCAGAACTGGTTTGTTGACTTCTCTTCATGTTTCTCACACGATCTGAAGCCTGAGCTGACTATCATATCCCCAAGTCACAGAGCTGAAGCTGCAGTTCAGGTTTGAGATCAGTCTCCGTTCACTTCCACGGAGTGCCACAGCCAGAGTGACTGGAGGCAGACAGCTCTTGTTGGGACAGCTTTCTAACAAGCAAGTCTTTTTAAAGTGAAAAAGAACCCTCCAGCGGCACACTGATTTAGTTGGTAAGATTTTAATTTACAAATTAAAAAAGTTATTTAATACATGTTTTACTTTTTCTCCTTTTTCTCCTCTTTCTTTCCATCACTCTTTTCCTTATCTTTATCTTTCTCCTTGTCCTCTTTCCTATCCTTTTTGCTTTCTTCTTTCTCCTGCCCTTCTTTCTTCTCTGCATCCCGGTTGGCAATCTTGTTGTTGATGAGGTTGTGCAGGGCAACCACGGAACGGATCAGCGAGGCCAGGTACACCACCACCATCTGGTCGTTGGTCTTCAGGTAAAAGGCTTTGACAAACTCCTGCAGGCTGACATCTGGCAGCAGGTTGAAGACGTCCTGCAGCTGGTAGATGATCTGGTGGTTGATGGGCAGCTTTCCTGTGGCTACTTTTTCCAGGTAGCTCCTGATATCCAGAAGCTTGGAGTTCAGTCCCTTCAAACCATGGACCTGGTTTGTGATCCGCTGGGACAGAGTGCCCACCGTTGTGTCTTTGATGTCTCTGTAATGACCCACAGTTAGAAAGGGCAGGAGAAAGCATCAGGGTACCACGTTATTGCACAAGTTCTCACATTCTAAGAAAATACCTAGCTTTGTTGGGTGTGGCAAGTTTTTAAAAGAAGAATGTCATTTCTCCATTTAGTAAAGATTTATTTATCAATTCCCTTAATGTCGTTATCATTTGGGGCACATATTTTATCTTCCTCATCACAGGACATTTTTCAAAAAATAATTATAAAAGAGAGCTAAAATAAAACCATTTTCACTTAAGAAAAAAAAATGATCGTTTTTAGGTCAACAGTTCAGATCTGCCAATAACTCTGGCAGAAGCTCTCTAGTTCACCTTTCCTGTTCCTAAAAAGATGGTATTTTTTCTTTTTTTTAAAGATGGTATTTTTTCTACCCGCATCTCCAGAATATTGAGAAGATATTAAATGAGATGGTAATTTTTAGACCTGGAAGGAACCTCACTGACTGATTAAAACTATGACCTTTTTAAAATAAGGCTTATACAGATACATGATTTTAAAAGAAAAGCTATCCCAAGAGGAAGATTCTCTCTAGAAAATGGGCTACATTTGTTGAGAAGAACATCTAGTGGAGAGCGCAGGCCTGCATGTATTTCACAGCTCTGTTCCTATGACAGTCAACATTACAGTTTCCAGGTAAGGTGTGCTCTCCAGTCACATATTATAACTCAAGACATCTAACAGTTGATGATTTACCCATAAGAAAACAAAGGCCTGGAAAGGGACTGTGATTTGCTCAGAATGGCAGAATTGTTAGTGGATGGCCAGGACCAGAACCCAGGTCTCCATACTCCCGACACAGACCTCTAGCCTTAAACCGTGTGACCTCTCGGGCAGCAAATGATTTTGATGCTGTGCTAAGGTCTCACCGTAACAAGTGTTCAACTCCAACTTCCTCAGCTTCCTCTGCTCCAATTTCACTGGTCACGTGTTCAAATGTTTTTGAGGTTGGAGTTCCATCCTGGGAGAGGAAGCTTAACTATAATTATTTATTTTCCACAAACAAACTGACACGTGTTCCTTTTCGTACCCTGAGCCTTTTGCTTTAACTCAGCTCATTTAATGAGTGCATGACTGAGAATTTTCTATGGCAAGGGTGGGTATGGCTTGCTTTGGAAGTTTAGCCTTCAAAGCTACCATCACTGTGGTGCTGCTCAGTGATGCAGTCTGCTGGGGGACTGCATGTTGAGAAAAATCTGGATCATCCCTCAAGCCCACACTTGGGATGAACACACAGGGAAGTCTCAGGTTGGTTCTTAAAAGTATATAGTTCTCAGCTGGGCGCAGTGGCTCACGCCTGTAATCCCAGCACTTTGGAGGCCAAGGCAGGTGGATCACCTGAGGTCAGGAGTTCGAGACCAGCCTGACCAATATGGTGAAACCCTGTCTCTACTAAGAATATAAAAATTAAGGCCGGGCGCAGTGGCTCAAGCCTGTAATCCCAGCACTTTGGGAGGCCGAGGTGGGTGGATCACAAGGTCAAGAGATTGAGACCATCCTGGTCAACATGGTGAAACCCCATCTCTACTAAAAATACAAAAAATTAGCTGGGCATGGTGGTGCGTGCCTGTAATCCCAGCTACTCGGGAGGCTGAGGCAGGAGAATTGCCTGAACCCAGGAGGCGGAGGTTGCGGTGAGCCGAGATCGTGCCATTGCACTCCAGCCTCGGTAACATGAGTGAAACTCCGTCTCAAAAAAAAAAAAAAAAAAAAAAAAAAAAAAAAAAAGAGAGGGGGGATGGGAAAACCAGGGAAGGGGGGGGGGGGAGAAGGGGAAATAACAGAACACAAGAAGGAAAGAGGAAAAAAAAAAAAAAAAAAAAAAAAAAAAAAAAAAAAAAAAAAAAAAAAAAAAAAAAAAAAAAAAAAAAAAAAAAGAAGAAAAGAAAAGGTGTATAGTTCTGGCTGAGTACGGTGGCTCATGCCTGAACTAATCTCAGGACTTTGGTATGCCGAAAGTTCGAGACCAGCCTGGGCAACATGGCGAAACGCCATCTCTACTAAAAATACAAAAACTAGCCAGGTGTGGTGGTGGGTGCCTGTAATCCCAGCTACTCTGGAGGCTGAGGAATGAGAATCACTTGACCCTAGGGGGCAGAGGTTGCAGTGAGCTGAGATCATGCCACTGTACTCCAGCCTGAGCAACAGAGTGAGCCTCTGTCTCCAACAACAACAACAAAAAAATCTATATAGTTCTTTTTAGAATGGACAATATAAGCAAGCTCATGCCAGAAAATATAACTTTTAGCCCTTATATGTCTCTTGGATCAAGTGATTCCAGAGTGCCAAAAACAATGCAATCAGAATAGCTGGCTTTCTGGAGGTATGAATTAATCAGAGGATCCACTGGGGACGCAGTCCATGGTGGTCACCCAGTCACTTCCTGATGGGAGTCAGAAGATACTTTTCTCAGACCTTGTGCCAGAAGACGCTATATGTCTCCTGTAAAAAGGCTGTAAAATGTCTGCAAGGCAGGACATAGTAGTAAGAGCACAGGCTCCCCAGCCAGGCTATCTGGGTTCAAAGTTTGGCTCCCCCATGTATGTAATAAGGGAGCTGCAAGACCTTGAGCGAGTCACTCAACTCACACAAAGTGCTGTAAAAGTTAGCTGTGATTATTTTACTTAAGATCGTGTTAATCCTGCAAGGGGCATTCTCATCTTTGCTTTGGATGCCAGGATGGTTAGAACCTATAACAGTCTTGTGGAATTTCTTGGTAACCTTTACAACAGGCATGAATTCCTCTTGAGTTTCATCTTGTAACATGATCGGTATGTCCCCTTTATCCTCTGCTAAAAAAAATATCTGGCTTCGTTGGTTTGTGTGTATGAACATCCACAATTCCTTTTCTAAAGAGGCAGGAGAAAAAACTACAACAACTGTGTCAAAACCAGGGATGAAAGCCCTATTGCAACTAGGCGCTACATTTGGATCTAAGCTCTCTGGTAGCCAGGTAAAGAGAACAGCTCCAGGAAGACAGAACTTGAAGCAAGGAACATCAGCAGAGAGCTATCCTAAAATACCCTTTTCCAAATCTTAAAACTGAATGTAAGGAAAAATACTGCATATGAAATTCAAAAGCAGATCGTAATTTATCCCTTAAACTTTTCATTTGTAAAAGAGGAATTTGGATTTCTTTTTTGTTTTTTTGGGGGGGACAGGGTCTCACTCTGTCGCACAGAATTGGAATGCAGTGGCATGAGCAGAGCTCACTGTAACCTTGAACTCCTGCGTGCCTGTCTCAGCCTCCTGAGTAGCTAGGAGTACAAGCATGGACCATCAACCTGGCTAATGTTTTTATTTTTGTAAGGGTCTTGCAACGTTGCCCAGGCTGGTCTTGAACTCCTACACTCAAGCAATCCTGCCACCTTGGCCTCTCAAAGCACTGGGTGAGCCACTGTGCTTGGCTGGGAATTTAGATTTCTATGTTCCTCTCTGTTTCCAAAATATGGTGATTAAAAAATTCAAAGGGAAAAAACTTAACTACCTTCTTTTGTTATAGAGACAAAGGATTTGTTGAACTGAAAATGGAAAAAAAGCTATTCACTCAATAAGGAGCAAGTCTAACCTCCCAGGTTCCTAGAAAGATGACTTACATCATGGACTTCTTCCACTGAAATGTATGCTTCTGTGGGCAGCCCCAGGTCCTTTGGCTTCACATCAATAATGACCAATACCTGGCAGAGAAACACATCTTAGCAAATCATCTCATGCCTAGCACAAAAGGGATAATTTCAGTCATTCTTCTCATGATTAGTAAAGCTATTTCTTGTATTCAATTAGAAATGAATCAGGATTTTCAGCAAAAATGCATTTATAGCTCAAATGATCTAATCATTTTTCTGCTTTTTGATTCCCTTCATTAACAAGCTGAGGGGCAGTACAGTGCCTAGTACAAGGGCATTAGGGTCACTACAGGCAAAATTTCAATCCTGGTCCCACCACTACCAGATCTTGCCAACCATGGTGAAACTCAGTTTTCTCATTCGCAAAGAGGATATACAGTTGCTGAGAGGATTACATGAGATAACTCCTACACCTGGGTACTTAGCAGGTGTAAACTCTTATTTATCAAATATATTAGGCTATAGTATACTTCACAGAACACTACAAATTAACACAAGTTTATGGAGAAAAAGCAGTAAGTAGGTTTGCTACTGAAATTCTTCCCAGGATGCTCTTACTTGAGCTGGCTGGCAAAAACATCATTCAAGAATTTCAAAAATAGCACTTACGGAATTAGGACAGTATCTTTTCATGAGTTCATTGATGGCAATGTCATTCTTATGTAGTTTCGGGCCTGTGTGGTACCAGCCAACTATTCTTTCTCTGGCTAGGAAGGAAAAAAATTAGTGGGCTTTAACTATTTCATGAAGATTTATACAACTCCCTCAAAAAGGATGAGAACATCAATAGTTATGTCCTTTACCTCTTTGAAAATTCCAGTCATATTTACCCTGGTGGTACTAAAGCTCTAATGGAAGACTGATTTTACTGGACAGTTCTTGACTTTTCTGCTGCAATGAGAGAGTTATTTTCCCTCTTACCCAAACCCAGGTGGTCTATTTGGCCTTAAATTGCTACTCTAGTTTTTCATTTATTCTACCATACTCCTCTACTATCTCTAGTCTCACTTAAGTCTAGCTAAGTAAAAGGGCACTTGATGTTAAAGAAAGAGAAGAAAAGACCCCCATACACACAGATCAATTCTATGCTAGAACACCTTAGAACATCAAGACATACCATTGACTTTCTTAAACATTCCATACATGTTTTCCAAATAATCATGGTCTAAAAACCACACAGAATCGTCTTTGTCATCTTCATCAAAAGGAACTATAGAGGAAAAAAATGTTAGTTTAGGGTGCTAGATAGAAACCTAGAACACAGGTCACAAGTAAAGACCCGTAGGCCAGATCCGATTCACTTACATGTTTCACTTGCCCAACACAGTATTACATTTTTTTTTGAGCTGCCCTCAAAAATGGAGAGAATGCATATAAAAATTCAGACTCCCAGCTGCTCTTAAAAAACTGGAATACCAGTTGGGCGTGGTGGCTCATGCCTGTAATCTCAGCACTTTGGGAGGCTGAGGGGGGCGGATCACAAGGTCAGGAGTTTGACACCAGCCTGGCCAATATGGTGAAACCCCATCTCTACTAAAAATACAAAATTAGTTGGGTGTAGTGGCGAGTGCCTGTAGTCCCAGCTACCTAGGAGGCTGAGGCAGGAGAACTGCTTCAACCCAGGAGGCAGAGTTTACAATGAGCCGAGATCACACCACTGTACTCCAGCCTGGGCAACAGAGTGAGACTCTATCTCAAAAAACAAACAAAAAACTGGAATATCTGGCAACTACCAGCTATAGCCAGGTAGGGGCTGCCTCCTTTATAAAAGACACATGCTTTTCAGTTTTCTACAAGCCCAGTAAGTTCCTGAAATTTTCCATTTGACAAATGACATTACTAGCTGGTCATTTTAGACACTGGAGTTAGTGACCTCTAGTCCAAAGTCATCCAGCAAGTTCTTTATTGTTGTTGCTTTAATCATAAAAGTAATACATGGATACATTCTTGGAAGGATTCACATAAAAGGGTAAAGTTCCCGATCCCTCCCCTTACTCCACCTATAAGAAGCATGGTTAAATAGTTCAGTGCAGGGGTTGACAAACTGTGCCAGCCGCCTGTTTTTATAGAGATTTGCTGGAATACTGCTACTCTCATTTGTTTACACGTTGTCTATAGCAGCTCTTGCATTACAACAGCAGAGAGCAGCAGGTGCCGTGGAGACCACATGGCCTGCAATTTAAAATATTTACTGTTTGGTGTAGGGTGCAGCCTTAAGTTCTCTTTTCTGTACTTCAGCAATTCCGAGACAACCTCTAGGTTGTAGTCAAAAGTGATAACAAAGGTTTATTTTTTAAAAATGTTAATTGACATTTTAATCATGCTCAGAGAAACACAAAATTTGTCTTTTACCTGCAAAACTGTTCGATACATCCAGTACTTTCTTCTGCCATGACCCCAAAAGCACACCAACAACTCGCTTCTGGTTTCCAACCTTGCCAATTCTGGAGGAGAAAACAGATGGTCAGAGTGAATAGGCTCACACAGGAACATGGACAATAAGATACTCAATGGGAAATATCAATGGCACAGGTACAATTTAGTTTACCTGGGAACTCAATCTCCCTAAAGCAATGTAGTCTGGTTTGGTTGATATTAACTATCAGGGATAATTCATAAACTTGGTACTGACACACACTGGCAGTTTTTACTTAACACTGACTGCTAAGTAATACATGCTTGGGAAAATTTCAAACTTCTCAGAAATTTAAAATGAAGAAAATGAAAACTTCTCAGGTCCTAGGATCTAAAAATATTTGGTGTTTGAAAGAAGAGCACTAGCTGGTGTTTGAAAGCAGATTTAAGCTATGCTACCACATTTAACTTTACTTTTTCTTTGCAGCTTTCCTTTCTCCTTTAAACTTTTCCCATCCTTTAGTCTTTTTTGGAGTCAAGATGCTAGAGTAGGCCAGGGGCAGTGGCTCAGGACTGTAATCCCAGCACCTTGGGGGGCTGAGGTGGGTGGATCACTTGAGCTCAGGAGTTTGAGACCAGCATGGGTAGCATGGGCAACATGGTGAAACCCCATCAACAAAAACTAGAAAACAGCTGGGCATTTTTTTCCTCTATTTTTTTTCCTGTTTTCAACAAAAAATAGACAACAGTTGGGGGTGTGCCTGTAGTTTCAGCTACTTGGGGTTGCAGGGCTGATGTAGAGGGTTTTTTTGAGCCCAGAAGGTCGACTTCGAGGCTAGCTACAGTGGGCCGAGATCATGCCACTGCACTCCAGCCTTGGCAACAGAGGGAGATCCTGTCTCAAAATAAATGAATAAATAAATAGAGGAGGGCTGAATGATAAAGATTTTACTTCAGAATTTTTATCTCCATTTCAAACCTCCTCAGTCATTTTCTCCTAAGGAGTTACAACTGCTTCACTTATACACTCTCATTTCATTCGTCTTCAAGAAGCATCCTTTAACCACTAGCAAACGTGACTCAGAAACACAACTCCATGCTAAGGAAAGACAAAAGCCACTGTTAACTATACTTTCTTAATAGCTGCTAGTTTCGCACTGGTTTAATACTTTTCTTAATATACACTTGGCAAATCTATAAATGCTTCTTACGTTTGGGGTTTGAATCAAAGTTAATGCTTCTGTATTTCTGGTGCCTCTAATTTTTTTGTGGGGGTGGGGGAAATTGAGTTTCCAACTTCAACTTCCATACTCATGGGCTTCTGTTTTGGTCTACAAAAATCTATTTGTATTTTTTAGAGCCCTATACTTGCTTAACAGAGAAGCTAGTGCTCTTCTTTTTTTTTGAGACAGGGTCTCACTCTTGCCCAGGCTGGAGTCCAATGGCAGGCATGATTTTGGCTCACAGCAGCCTCTACTTCTCTGATTCAAGTGATCCTCCCACCTCAGCTTCCTGAGTAGCTGAGACTACAGGCACATAGCAACACACCTTGCTAATTTTTTTTTTTTTTTTTTTTTTTTTTAGAAAAGGGGATTTTTTTTTTTTTTTTTTTTTTTTTTTTTTTTTGTAGAGAAGGAGTTTCACCATGTGGCCCAGGCTGGTCTTGAACTCCTGAGCTAAAGCAATCCACCCACCTCGACCTTCAAAAGTGCTAGGATTATACGTGTGTGCCACCAGGCCAGCCTGAAAGCTAATTCTTAACCAGTGCTTGAACAGAACTGAAATGGTGCCTGCCCCTAGGATCCCCTGGGAGAAAGACAATAATTACTCTACTGTAGAAAAGTCAACATATCCTAGGCTGAGGGACCTTTTTTTTGGCTCCCACTGAATTAGTTGCACAGAGCAAATTGCAGGAGAAAGAACACTTTGCAATAATGGCTTTATAGTAGATGCTCTGAATTGGGTCTTTCCATTTACCAGTTCAACTAACAATCTTGTAAAACTTAGAAACACGTGCAACAGGTCTAGCAGGATTAACAGCTCCAAAGCAAGGGGTGGTGGATGTACACCCTCAAACAATGAGCTTAGGAGATGAGCTTTGAGATGATTCCTTACCTTTTTCATTAAGGTCCAAATCTCCAATTGGTCTCTCTCTCTTTTTTGGAGACAGGGTCTCACTCTCACCCAAGCTGGAGTGCAGTGGCGCAATCTCGGCTCACGGCAGTTTTTCTAACTCCTGGGCTCAAGCGATCCTCCTGTCTCGGCCTCCCAAAGTGCTGGGATTACAGGCGTGAGCCACCATGCCCGGCCTCGTGTTTTAAATAAAAACGGAAACCTCATCTATATTTACATATGCACACATATACATAATACATATAGATATATTTTTGAGATGGAGTCTAATCAGATTCCCATTTAGCAATGTTAATGGGTTAAAACTACAGCTGATCCAGGAAGCCCTTCGGGGTGCTGAGCATCATTCAGATTTGGATAACAGGAACTCGGTAATACACAGGAGCCTGGGGGCAGGGGGCAGTGCCACATGAAGCTAGCCCCCTCCACCCCACTCCGGCATCATCCAGACATCATTCATTTTGCATCATTCCCGTTTTCGGTGAAATCAACTTGTTTAAACGAGGATAAACATAAATACGAGCCCGGGGCGTGATTCAGGGCCAAATGAAGACCCTGCGCCTCACTCCGACATCATCCACATTTCGGTGAAACCAACTCGGTCAAACGAAGATAAACAGATAGCCTGGGGGCAGGAGTCAGGGCTAAAGGAAGCTAGCGCCCTCCGCCCCACCTGGGCATCATCCAGGCATCATTTACTTCGCATCATTTCGGTGAAACCAACTCGGTCAAACGAAAATAAACAGATATGACCCTGGGGACGGGGGTCAGGGCCAAATAAAGCTAGCCCCCCTCCGCCCTACCCTGGCTTCACCCAGATTTCGGCAAAACGAACTTCGGTAAAACGGAGTGACAGACAGGAGCTTGGGGGCGGGGGTCAGGGCCAACTAAGGCTAGCCGCATCCCACGATCCCCGGCATCATCCAGATTTCGGTAAAACGAACTTCGGCAAAACGAAATCGGTAAACCGAACAGGAAGCTCAGGCCCAGAAGTAGCGGCGGCTGGGGCAGGCGTGGAAGGCTGGATGACTCCGGCATCCTGAGCCGAGGCTGGTCTGGGCTCGCGGACATGTAAGGGCCACCAGCCACCCGTTCTGCGTCCCCGGGTCGCCCGCGGCCGCCGCGCCATCCCCAGAGCGCCGGTGACTCAGCAGCGGCTCCGCCGCTGGGCCCGCTGGGCCACTCGCTCACCGGTTGAAATGATCCACCACACTAAGCAGCACCAGGGGGTGGACCACCACCTTCTGCACCGCCAGCTCCGGCATCGCGACACACGCCCGCCAGGCCTGGCTCCCTGTTACCCGCAAACACCTGCAGCGCTAGCGATTACCCGGCGCTTTCAGGCCCAGCTCCTCTTCTTCCGGTTCACCCGCCCCCGCGTGGCCTCCTTCTTCCGCTCCCAGAGTGCCTCGCGCGGCGCTCCCGGATCTTCGCCACTGCCGCCATTCCGGGGCGGGGAGAGGACTAGAAAAAGGTGGGGGTCGCCCCAGGTCTCTAGGCTAGCGTTTCTCTGGATTTAAAGGCCAAAGGGACATTGGCGACTTGACCTCCTGGTATTGGCCTGCACTATGACGTGCAGAGGCTTTTCGCCTCAGATCCTTGTCAGCACCGCCCTACCCTCCAAAGTAAATAGTTAACAATTTACGTTTCCACTACCCAGAAGTTCACTTTTGTTTCAGGTCGAAATCTCCCGGGATTTCTTAGAGGCACTTTAAATCTGTAACATTAGAGCACGCTTTGAATGTAGCTTGGTAATTTATGTAATTCTCATTTTCATTGAGGAATTTCTCCTTTACTGTGGACACTGCAATGAAAGTGGCAACCTGCGGGTGTCCACTTGTCCTTATATTTAATACTGTGTAACTAGGGCTAGAAGCACGCAATTGTGGCATTGCTTTTGAAATTAAAAATTACATAAGCATTGAAGAAAAGATGGAAGGCAGTAAGGAAGTATGTCGTGATACCTAGGAAAGAGAAGACGACTAAGGGCGACAAGGCAGACTTTTCATATATATAATATAAGGAGGCAAATTATATGAAAAGTCATACAGGTTTATGTTGTGTCATTTAAAGTTGCCGTTTTTGTAAACGAAAAAAATACTTCATCAACTTGAATTATTTACCTATGTTTTCTTCTGTCTTTAAACAATTTTTGCTTTCCCTTTATCACCAGAGGATTTTCCCAACATTTTGTCCTCTCTTTTTAAGGAGGACTTCCTGATATCCAAATGTCAAGGAACACAGTCGGTCTCTCTTGTATGTGGGTGGTGAAAAATATTACCAAAGATTAGACTGAAATTTGGCCACCAATGAGAGACTTTAATGCCAGGTAGTCAGGATTTTTGATGTGTCCGCATGTGAATTTGTCTTCCGTCTGCAGCTTGGATTTATTATCAGATTTTCTGCTAGATCCCCAAGGAAGTAAATAGCAGAATGTGCTTATTATTCATAATTAATTGAAGAGACTCAATACTATCTTTATTTTTAAGTTTTTTTTTTTTTTGTACAGATGGTGTCTCACTATGTTGTCCAAGCTGGTCTCAAACTCCCAGCCTCAAGCAATCCTTCCTCCTCAGCCTCCCAAAGTGCTGGGATTACAGGCATGAGCTACCAGTGCTTGGCTACTTATTCTTAATTAAAACTAGAAAGATATAAGGGTTATGTTAACGAGAAAGAAAACTAAGAATTATTGAATCTATTGAGTGCCTATTTTATGCCAGCCCTGGTTCAGACACAAATATTTAATCCTTTTAATGAATGCTTTTCAAACTTTGCTATACTTACAAATCACCTGGGGACCTTGTTAAAATACAGATTCTGATTCTGTAGGTCTGAGATCCGATCTGAGATTCTGCGCTTCTAACGAGCTTTCAGCTGAGGCCCATTCTGTGTTAACAAGGCTTGTGACAACCTTAGGAAGTAGGTATTTTCTCATTTACAAATGAAATTTGTTGCTCAAATGTTGCTCTCGAGGTGGGCTTTTTCTGAGACTTAGAAAAAATTTCATCTTTCTCCCCCACCTATGTGTTTCTGCTTTAGTTTTCTCTATAGTTTTTACCACTTGTGAATGGTTTGTAGAATTTACCTATTCTGTTCATTGGCTTTGTCTCTCATTAGAATGTAAGCTCTTGTTTAGTTCTTAAGCCCTGTTTCGTTTACTTTTTTTTTTTTTAGTGGGACAGAGTCTTCCTCTGTCACCTAGGCTGGAATGCAGTGGCACGGTCGTGGCTCACTGCAACCTCTGTCTCCCAGGTTCAAGTGATTCTCATGCCTCAGTCTCTCGAGTAGCTGGGAATGCACCACAGCACTTGGCAAATTTTATTTTTAGTAGAGATGTTGGCCAGGCTGGTCTTGAATTCCTGACCTCAAAGCGATCCGCCCACCTCAACCTCCCAAAGTGCTGGGATTACAGGTATGAGCTACTGTACCCAACCTAGTTTACTTTTTAAAAAAATTAAAAATTTTTTAATTTAGTCTCGCTCTGTCTCCCAGGCTGGAGTGCAGTGGCGCGATCTTGGCCCACTATAACCTCTGCCCACTGGGTTCAAGCAATTCTTCTGCCTTAGGCTCCCGAGTAGCTGGGATTACAGGTGTGTGCCACTATGCCTGGCTTATTTTTGTATTTTTAGGAGAGATGGAGTTTCACTATGTTGGCCAGGCCGGTCTGGAACTCCTGACCTCGTGGTCTGCCCGCCTCAGCCTCTCAAAGTGCTGGGATTACAGGTGTGAGCCACCACACCTGACCCCTAGTTTACTTTTATATTACCAGTATCTTGAAAAGTGCCTAGACTATAGGAGACACTCAGTAATTACTATATAAATGAATAATTACTTATGGTAGTGAAATGAAAGATGACAACAAGGCCTAGACATTGGGAAGGATCTTTCCAAGATCACATTGCTGGTCAAGATCAAGCCAGGTTTCTGTGTCCCCAGTTCCTAATTGGGTGGTCTGCCTGCTTGCAGCACTCTGAGGCAAAAGAATTGTGTTAATTTGGCTGGGCTCGGTGGCTCACACCTGTAATTTCAGCCGTTTGGGAGGCCGAGACAGGCGTATCACGAGGTCATGAGATTGAGACCGTCCTGACCAACATGGTAAAACGCCGTCTCTACTAAAAAAAATACAAAAATTAGCTGGGTGTGGTGTTGCTTACTTGTAATCCCAGCTACTCAGGAGGCTGAGGCAGGAGAATTGCTTGAACCTGGGAGTTGGAGCTTGCAGTCAGCCAAGATTGCGCCACTGTACACCAGCCTGGTGACAGAGCAAGACTCCATCTCAAAAAAAAAAGGCATTAATTTTATTAAGATGCTAAATTTCAAACTTTAGAAAGTGATGTGTTTTATTTCACACTTAAGTTTACTTTGCAGTTGTGTAGACTAAGCAAGCTGTTTCGAAGCTTATTAGGTGCCTCCAAGCCTAACTCACTGAAGCAGTGTGAAATTGACTATGAACTTAAAAAATTATTCAAGTTACACATGATCATTGTGGAAAAATGAAATTATTCAGATAAATAAAAGTGAATATAGAGCTGAGCATGGTGGCCTGTGCCTGTAATCCCAGATACTCAGAGGCTGAGGTTGGAGGATTGTTGGAGCTCAGAAGTTCATGACCCGCCTGAACAGTAGGACCTTCTCACAAATAAATAAATTTATTGAAATAAATTACAATCACCTGAAATCTTACCACATACAGAAAACTAATATTAACCTTGGCCCAAAGGGCTATATTTCTTAAGAGACTTCAGCATTAGCTTCCTACCTTCTCTTTTTACCTTCCAGTGTGACCTTCTCCCATCGCCATCCTCCACTCTGCAGCCAGATTTATTTACTTATTTGTTTGTTTATTGAGACTGAGTTTCACTCTTGTTGCCCAGGCTGGAGTGCAGTGGCGCCATCTTGGCTTACTGCAACCTCCGCCTCCCAGGTTCAAGCAATTCTCCCACCTTAGCCTCCTGCGTAGCTGAGATTACAGCCACCTGGCTAATTTTTGTATTTTTAGTAGAGACGGGGTTTCATCATGTTGGCCGGGTGGTCTCGAACTCCTGACCTCAGGTGATCCACCCACCTCGGCCTCCCAAAGTGCTTAGATTACAGGCATGAGGCATCGCCCTGCCCTTATTTTAAAATTTTTAATTTATTATCTTTTTTCAAGAGACAGGGTCTCACTCTGTCCCTGAGTTTGGAGTGCAATGGTGCAATCATTAGCTCACAGAAGCCCTGAACTCCTGGGCCTAAACGATCCTCCTGCTTTAGCCTCCCAAAGTGTTAGGATTACAGGTGTGAGGCACAGTGCCCAGCCCCAGACATATTTTTAAAACAACTTTCTTAATGGAAAATCCCTAGCCTGTGCAAGAGTAGGGGGAATAGTATAATAAAGCCCACTGAGCTTAAAGTCTCCCTCACTTTTCCTGTCTGAACCCTAGTTCCTCTCCTTAAAGGTAGTCACTGATTACTAGTTTCTGGTGAACCTTTCAGAAAGTTGTTTTAAGATGTACCTTTTGCCATCTATATGCATAGCTTTAAAATATGCAAATGGAATTTAACTCTACATAAAGTTCTAAAATTTGCTTTTTTGAGTTAATAATATATGATTAACATACTTCCTTATAGCAAATCTAGGTGACCATCATCATTAATAGCTGCACAGAATGGATTTGATTTCTTCATAATAGACCCCTTCATCTACTCAAGGGCCCAGCTACAACGTTACTCTTCATCAGCCTGTATAGGCCTGGAAAGGGCAAAAACTGTACCAAAGATGTTTCTAGAATCTTTAATTCTTCCACTGAGATAGGACTCTTTTGCACTCTAAACTTTGACAGTCTTCTATAACCAATGTCTCTGATGTTTTTCTCAATATTCATTTAACAATATGTTGGGCACTAACTCTGTGCCACTGTTTTAAGTACTGTATAGGAATAAACAAAACAAAGGTCTCGCCCTCTTTGAACTTACCATCTTGTTAGGGGAGATAGACTATAAGCAAATAATACATATAAATCCCATGTAATATTCCGTGTGGTATCAGAAGGTGTGCTTAGCCTGTCACACCTGCTCGCCATGATCAAATGTGGCAGGCCTCAATGAATCATGCATCTCGGTGTTCATGCCCTGGTGTTGTCTCTTCCAAAATTGACTATAAGTTTGAGGATGTGACTTGCTTTGCCACATGAGATATTAGCAAGTGTGATACAAACAGAGGCTTGAATAACACTCTCATGTTGCAGTGTGTTCTCTTGGAATGCCCACTCTTGGAACCCTGAGTCATATAGAGAAATCTGGCTACTTTGCAGGAGAGACCATATGGAGTAGAGGAGAAATGCCTGGCCATTCCCCAGCTATTCCAGCCATTCCAGATGAGGTGCCAAGAAATGTGAGTGAAAAAACCATTGTGAATATTTCAGCCCTAGTAGATAGCATGTGGAGCAGAAGAATTGCCCAGCTGAGCCCAGCCCAGGTTATAAAACTCTGTGAAATAGTAAGTCATCACTGCTGTTTTAAGTCACTAAGTTTTGGGTGGTTTGTTGTGCAGCAATAGATAACAGAAACACTAGGCAGTTTGTGAATTCTTTGTGAACCTAAGGTTCTTGGTAAATAATTTGCCAGTCAATGCTTGTTATGTTGGTGAGCTGAGCTCATCATGTTATGAGGTGAGCTGCTCCCTAAGTGTTAGCTCTGTCCCTTACTTTCTCAGTGTCATTTGCTGTTTTTACTCTTTCATTTGAAGGTTATTTAGGCCTGTCATGGAATATCTCTCAGCTCAAGATATAGTCTGAGTCTGAAGACGTTTCTAAAGCTAGGCAGCAATTTTGGAAACTCATCCCAGCAGGACTGAGTTTGAGAGTGTGGAAAAACTGGAGTATGGTAAAGAAGAAATTCTTGATGCCTCTGAAACCCTTCCCTGTAAGCTTTCTCCCTTTCATATCCTACTGTGAAGGTAATAGAGAAGAGCATGGGCTGTGAGTCAGATCTAGATTTGAATTTTGCATTTCCTATTTACTGGCTAGGATATTTTAAATGAGTCACTTAATCTCTCTAAGCCTCAATTTCCTCTTTGTAAAATAGAGATAGTAATAGTGCTTGACTCAGGTGAGGGGAGCCAGGGATGGGAGATGACTGGGCTATCCTAAGCAGAGACATATTTAAGAGAGTAGTAAGAAATAAGTTTATCTTGGTTGGGTAGGACCAGGTTATAAAGGACACAGGATTTTTATTGTAAGTCAGAAAGTGATATGATACGATAGAAATGACATTTTTAGAAGGTTAATCTGTTAGTAGTATGTAAAATAGATTCATAGGAAGAAAGCTAGTGCTGGGCATGGTGGTATGCACCTGTAGTCCCAGCTACTTGGGAGGTTGAGGTGGGAGAACCACTTGAGCCCCGGAGTTCAAGACTATCCTGAGCAACATAGTGAGACTCTGTCTCTAAAAAAAGAACAATTTTTTTTTTTAAATAACGAGAACTAGGGAAACCTGTTAGGAGGAATTTTAAGTAATTCAGTATGAGGTGGCAAATACCTGGAGTGGCAGAAGGAACAGAAAAAGAAACAGGGAGATGCATTTCAGAGAAAAATAGACAGAAAATGGGTGATTTACCTGTGAAAGATGAAGGAATAAATGAATAAAAAATTACTTCAAAGTTTCCCGGCTGAGTGGCATCACTTGAGGCCAAGGTGGGAGGATTTCTTAAGGCTGGGAGTTTGAGATGAGCCTGGACAACATATCAAGACCTTGTCATGGTGGCATGAACCTGTAGTCTCAGCTCCTACTTGGGAGGCTGAGGTGGGAGGATTGCTTGAGCCCAGGAGTATGAGGTTACATTGAGTTATGATTGTGCCACTGCACTCCAGCCTGGGTGACAGAGTGAGACTGTCACTTAAATAAATAAAAATGAAAAATTTTACTGGTTCATAATTTTTAAATATTTTTGAAAATGTTAATATACTTACCAAAAAGATAGAAAAGTATGTTTTCTGTTTCTGATTATAAGAGTAATGCACACTCATTGTTAGAACTTCAGGTAGTACAGAAATATTAGACTTATAAAGTAAAAATCTCCCATAATCCCACCATCCAGATATAATCACCTCTAACAGTTCAGTGTGTGTTCTTCTAGGTGAAATCTTTGTTTGAAAGAACCTGATTTCAGAATGTAGTACCAGTTATTGTGTCTCTTTGTTTTAGGGTTACTCGATAACACTTCTCATTTTAAAATTTTAATTCCCCAATCTTATAACTAACTACAGGCCTAATTAGTTATACATTTTGTGGTTGAGTCCCACAATTGCTCAAGAGCCCTTAGCTCTGCATCTTTGAAGAATGACTGGGAGACTCTGGCTCTGAGTCTTTGCCTTCTTCCAATATAATCAGGGAGCTGTTGATATTCCTTCTGTGTCCTATCCCTTTCATTACATGTACTCTTTTTACTTTTGGCAGCATTGCTTTGGGTTTTCTTCATTTCTTAAAATATTTTTGATTTGACTATCAGATGATTGCTCCTACATCCTAAGATAACAAAACTTTTAGGTGAAGAAGATTTAAGTCAGCTTTCATTGTGTGATGTGTAAAGAAAGCATGCTTGCTGGTGTTTAGTGTCTGATTCAAAGTGGACATTGTTGTTTCATCTCTTACATGATGCTTTTCAACACAGGGTAGACATGTATCTATTATTAAAAGCATGAAGGATTTTCCCTTCTAATTTGTAATTAAGGATTAATGGCTATCAGATGATCAAAGATTGATTTTGATTTTTCTTATGTGTCAAATAAGGTTTAAGAATTGGAGTCCGAAGGAAACATCATTTTGACTAAAATACATGAAGAGTGTAAAGAAGACCACTGGAAAATCATAAAGAAGGCATTTTCCACGTTGTTATCCCTCATTTCAAAATGGAACTGACTTAAAATCATCTCTGATATAATAGTCACTAATTGGGGGTGAATTTATTCAAAGGAATGTAGAAGGGCAGTACAAGAAATCCATTTTCTTTTGTTCATTGAATTCTGGACTGAACTCTGAGAGAATCTGATGAGAGTTTAAGGATAATACATTTTCTTCTTCTTTGATCATTTTTATCTTTAAGTTTAGGGAGTTAGCCTCCACAGACTACAGCATCTTAAAAGAGTTCTTATTTTTGCTAAGTCCAGAACAAGGAATAACAGTTTTACCAGCATTTCAGCAATACCTTGAACTTTGCAGCCTTTATCATTTTAAGAGATTTTGAAGAAAAAAGAATACATAGCAGAGATACCACCTTTAGCCCAGGCTGTATGTGTTTTGGGTTCAGACATCCTTGGGAATGTCTGGCAAACTAAGGTAGGCCCACTAGAACTCTATTTGTATGAGTCACTGAGACACCTGCAGTGGCACTCATCTTAGAGAAGAGTCAGATACACTGGTTTGGCCCAGAAACACACCCTTAGTTTTTGGAGAGAAAATAGTGATCCTTGGGATAGTATGAATCTGCCACTCAGAGTTGGCTCTCAGTTCAGCCCCTTGTATCTGAGTCCAGAAAGCCATGCTGGGTAAGCTTTGTGAGAAAACTGAAAGAGCCATTTCCTAAAAGCTCTGTGAGACATTTGGGCACAAGTAGTAGCACTGCTTATATTATTTCTCTAACAGATTATAATCTAAAACATAGAGAGTGGCCGGGTGTGGTGCCTCATGCCTGTAATCCCAGCACTCTGGGAGGCTGAGGTGGGTGGATCACCTGACATCAGGAATTCGAGACCAGCCTGGCCAACATGGTAAAACCTTGTTTCTACTAAAAATATAAAAATTAGCTGGGCGTAGTGGCACATGCTTCTAATCCCAGCTACTCAGGAGGCTGTGGCAGGAGAATTGCTTGAACCTGGGAGGCGGAGGTTGCAGTGAGCTGAGATCATGCCACTGTACTCTGGCCTGGGCCAGAACAAGACTGTACCAAAAAAAAAAAAAAAGATCAAACAAAAAAACCCAAAAAATATGGAGAGAAGCCTACTTAACCATTTAACAGTTTTGGTCCCTTGTGGCACCAGTACTTCAGCATGATGGCAGCAGGTGACAAGTTCATAGAAGTTAGTGGTGTCTAGCAGTATCAGGAGGCCTGGGGGATGTGGAGACATATGACAGATAGGGGCCAGAGCAGGGGAAAACTAAAACCAAGCATACCAGAGGATCACTGTCTGAACTTGTATGTCTGCATGTGCAACATCTCTGGAGTTTTAAAAGTATTTGGGGTGGGAGAAACATGGCAAGGGCTGATGTGATTGCCTGACAACTTCTTCTTGCCTTCTGCACAGATAAAACCAAATCACTGAGACAGCAGTATTGCAGTAGAGAAAAAGTTTAATAATCATGGGACCAGCCAAGTGGGAGGATGGGAGAGTTATTACTAAAATCTGCCAGCCTGAAAGCTCAGAGGATAGAGTTTTCTAAGGGTAGTCAGGAGAGGGCTAGGGAATGGGGAATACTGATTGATTTGAGATACAATCATAGGAAGTTGAAACAGTCTTCTTACAATGAGTCTGTTCCTGGGTGGAGGTCATAGGATTGGTTGAATTAATTCCTTGGTATGAGTCAGAGGTCTGTGTGGAATCAGTTGGTGGCCAGAATGCAAAAGTACGAAAAATGTCTTAAATACCAGTCTTAGGTTTTACAATTGTGATGTTATCTATAGAGACAATTAGGTAAGTTACAAATCTTATTACCACCATAGGTAACTTCTGAGCAGTAAACTACAACTAGTTATTATGTTATCTAACTACACATAGGTCTTAGTAGAATTCAGGACCTCCTCTAATTCTAATCGTGTGGCTTTTCATTAGTTTTGCAAAGGCAGTTTTGGTCCTGGAACACGGAGCGGGTAGTTTTGGGAAGGGGCTGTTATCATCCTTGCTTTAAATAGAATGGTATTAGGTATTCAACAAAGACTGCCTAGAAATGGCTCCCTGCTTGTTACAAATTAGATACACATCTCAAGACCTCTGTTGGTCATTTAAAAATATCTAAGGTATTCCTTTAGATTTTTCTATTATCTCATAATAAAAGTAGGAAAATAAAAGATCCTAGTGCTTTATTAATCAAGGTTGACAACCTACAAGAAAACATCACAGAATAAGAGAGTAAGATTTTTATTAGTAATATATATGAAGGCAAAAAGCATTTTAAAGATACATGTATGTGTCTATGTGCATTGGATTGTGATTATGTTATAATCCACTTGTCTGTCCTAATGAAAGCTATTGTATACATAGAATGAAGGTAATCTTTGGAAAATCATTAATGTGCTTCCTGTCTTGTGCCCTTCCTGTACAGAATATTTGTTCTAGTTTATGGGAGGCATCCATCTGTGGGTGGGATGTCTGTGAGTTAAGAAGAAGTAAGCCAGAGAGAAAGAGAAAATATTTAGCTTCTGATGTGCAAGATAGGATTATTGAAGTTAATAGCTCTGCAAGCCAGGGCATTGTCTTGAGAGGTAATTTTCTAAATTTTTTTATTCTCCTTGTTTCAAACCTAGATTAAAGGTCCCAGTTCATAGGCTCCTCCTATAGTTTAAGTACTGCCCTGCTTACCACTAAGTCTTAGCTAGAGTCATGAAGAATGGCGATAGGATGTAAGGGAGGTAAAAGAAAACCCAACTCCCTTTCTTCCCAACGCACGTGAAGAAAGAAGAGCAAGGTGGTTAAATGTGAGTGTTTTAGTTCTTCCTTTGAGTGTTGTTTCAGAGTAGGAGGTGTGTTGGGTGAATGAGGGTTACAGAAGGCAGGGAGGAGTTCCTGTCTCATGCTTTGTTTGGGACTGAAAATCTCAGATTGCCCTGTGTCTACCTGGGTTCAATTCCATTGCATTGATAGCCCAATGAAGGCCATGGGATGGGGGCTTTCAGGTACCCGCCACCGCATCTGGCCATTTTTTTTTTTTTTTTTTTTTTTTTAAAGATGGAGTCTCACTTTTTTGTTCAGGCTGAAGTACAGTGGCGTGATCTCAGCTCATTGTAACCTCAGCCTCCTGGGTTCGGGATTCTCCTGCCTCAGCCTCCCAAGTGACTGGGACTTCAGGCATGTGCCACCACACCCAGCTAATTTTTGCATTTTTAGTAGAGACAGGGGTTTCATCATGTTTGCCAGGTTGGTCTTGATCGCTTGATCTCATGATCCGCCTGCCTCCCCAGCCTCCAGAAGTGCTGGGTTTACAGGTGTGAGCCACCGTGTGTGGCTCTGATTTTTGTATTTTTAGTAGAGATGGGGTTTTGCCATGTTGGCCAGCGTGGTTTTAAACTCTTGACCTTAAGTTATCCTCCTGCCTTGGCCTCTCAAAATGCTGGGATTACAGGCATGAGCCACCATGCCTGGCTGAGATGAAAACTTTTCTAAAGAGATTGTTTGCTTTAAACCAATTTGGACCTTTAAATTGATTTTGTTTTTGTAGAGGTGGGGGTCTTGCTGTGTTGCCCAGTCTGGTCTCAAACTCCAGCCTCAAGCAGTCTTTCCCATTACATGGGAAAAAAATAACTTTTTAAAAATTAGACAGAACTTCATAAGCCTCCACATGCCGATATTTGCATTTGAATGTCAGGTTAACTATGAGTTCAGTTTGTGTCCTGTGTTGGTATGTACTGTAATCCCAAACTCTGCACTTTTTTTTTTTTTTTTTGAGATGGAGTCTTGCTCTGTCACCCAGGCTGGAGTGCAGTGGCATGATCTTGGCTCCCTGCAACCTCCGCTTCCCAGGTTCAAGCGATTCTCCTGCCTCAGCCTCCCAAATAGCTGGGATTACAGGTGCTCGGTACTACGCCTGCTAATTTTTGTATTTTTGATTTCACCGTGTTGGCCAGGCTGGTCTTGAACTCCTGACCTCAGGTGATCCACTTTCCTTGGCCTCCCACAGTACTAAGATTATAGGCATGAGTCACTGCGCCCGGCCACTACGCTTTCTTTCCTCACTCATAAATGCATAAATACTGAATGCTGTATGTGGAAACTAAGTGTAGTATACCTTGGGTCAGAGGAAGAGAACTCTAATTTCTTTTCTTTTCTTTTTTTTTTTGGAGACACGGTCTCGCTCAGTCTCCTAGGCTGGAATGCAACGACTCAGTCTTGGCTCACTACAACCTCTACCTCCTGGGTTCAAGTGATTCTCCTGCCTTAGCCTCCTGAGTAGCTGGGATTACAGGCACCCGCCATCATGCCCAGCTAATTTTTGTATTTTTGTAGAGATAGGTTTTACCATGTTGGCCAGGCTGGTCATAAACTCCTGACCTCAGGTGATCCGCCTGCGTTGGCCTCCCAAAGTGTTGGGATTATAGGCAGGAGCCACCACACCCGGGAGAGAACTCTTAATTTCTGTAGAAAACTTGGGCAAGCCACCCTGAGTTCCTAAGAATCTTTTATGTGTTTTCTGTGGTCATGCCCAATTTGGATGATAATAGTCAGTTCATTATCTTTGTTGTTGTTGTTTTGATACAGGGTCTTGCTGTTTCACCCACACTGGAATGCAGTGGTGTGATCATAGTTCACTGCACCCTTAACCTCCTGGGCTCAAACAATCCTCCCACCTTAGCCTTCTGAGTAACTGAGACAACAGGCATGTGCCACCATGCCTGGCTAATTTTTTTATTTTTTATTTTTTTAGAGACAGAGTCTCACTACGTTGCCCAAGCTGATCTTGAACTTCTGGGCTCAAGCGACCCTCCTACCTTGGCCTCTATTAAAATATCTTAAGCCTAAAACGCTCTCCTGAATTCCAATCTGGATAGGCTTCTGCCTACAGGATCTTCCCATCCAGATTTCTATGTCCCATAAGCACCTCAAGTTGACCAGTAGAGAGTTGAACTTGCCATTTTCCCTTCCAGACTTGTTCCTCCTTCTGTATTCCTGAGCTTAGCAGACACCCCCACCATAGAAGGGACCTAGTCAGGCATGTGGATGTCATTCTAGAGATTCCATTCCTTTTCCACAGAAATATAATTGGTCAGTGAGCATCTGTTCCTGCAAATGGCTTAAGAGGCTTGTCACTTTCTGGCCCCTGAGTGTTCTTTTAGCTTTGTTACCTGCCACCTAAATGCCAGCCATGGGGACTATCCCCCTGCTGTGTCCACTTGCCCCTGCTCTGGTCCTTTTGCTCATGTTTTCTCTCAGCCTGTAGTGTCCTTCCCTTGTTGTCTGCTTGAAGAATCCCTCACTCATCCTTTAGTCTCAGCTCAGAAGCCTTTGTGAAGACCTTGTCCCCGGGGCAGTTAGACTCAAGCATTTTGCACATGGGTTCTTCTTGTACTTACTGTGCCATCTAGTCCCTGTTTGTTCTCAGGCTGCCATGGTACAATGAGGGGCCCTGGAGGGTGGGGGTTTTGTGCTACTCATTTTGTATCTCAAGGCAGGCCAGTGCTAGGCACCTCAGAGCTCTCAGTCATAAATGCTTGTTGAATGAATGAAACTCTCAAAGGCATGTTTTTAAAAACTTCTAATAATTTTATGATTATTATAATTTACTTTTGATTCTTTCCAGGAATGTAGGTAAGTGAACATTTGTATTGCTAAGAGGTCTTGTGTACATAGTGCTGACCTTTCAGTTGGTTCTGAATGTTTTCAATGTTTTCGTACTTCTGAGCAAGTTCAATGACTACACACATGGCCCTCAATTTGTCTTCTTCAGTTTAACCTCCTTAAAGGTGGGGCTTGTTTTTTGCTACATATTGTATAGTGATACGGGAATCCTAATACATGTAAGAAATGTAAAGTACCGGTTTGATATAGTTTGGATATTTGTCCCCACCAAAATCTCATGTTGAACTGTGATATGGATGGCTCTGTGTCCCCGCCCAGTTCTCATGTCATATTGTAGTCCTCAGTGTTGGAAGTGGGGCCTTGTGGGAGGTGATTGGGTCATGGGGGCAGAATTCTCCCTGGGGTGTTATTCTCATGATAGAGTTCTTACGGGATCTGGTCGTTTAGAAGTGCGTGGCACCTTCCTACCCTCTGTCTTCCTCTTGCTCCTGGTGACATGAGGTGCCAGCTCCCTTAGCTTTCCACCATGATTGTAAGCTTCCTGAGGCCTCCCAAGAAGTTGAGCAGATGCCACCATCATTCTTCCTGTATAGTCTGCAAA